GAAAATGAATTAATTCAAGTTATTTTTACGCAGTCGCGCACGCATCTAATTTTGCTTCATCATCGCATGAACGCTTCGTCTATACAGATATTCTCAATCTTGCATAGTAATTCCTAAATAAAGCAAATATTTTCACGCCGACATATCGGCCTCCACATTTATTCTATGCTTCTGTCGATTGCTTTTCCGATTTTTACCATTTCTTACCGTTCGCTGCTTCGTACCGTTCAAGCCTTGGTTTCTACGCTATCTTTGTTTTCATGGGACTATGTATGTGTCTCAGAATAATAAACAGATTCATTCTTTTCTTTCTCGTGACTTTCTTTCCTTGTTTTTTTTTCTATCTCTTTCTGTCTCGTTTCTATCTTTTTTTCCTTTCGATGCTAAGATTCTCTCGAGACTTGTGGGGTTACACTATTGGCAAGAAAATGTGTCTCTCGTGATGATGGAACTCGACGCTGAACGGTAACTCGTGAGGAGAACGGGTTGTGCTAGGTGAAGCCCCCATTGTTGTTGAAAGCAACGTCGAGGCGAGGAATCCGATCGGGCCGCTCCTCGATCACGTATCGAAACGTCAATCGTAATTGTCACGACGGTCGAAATCGATATCACGCCCAGGCGATAAAGCCGTGGCGGTGAGATCGATTTGGTATTAAAATTTCACGCCGACAAGCGAGAATCGAGTGGATTACGGATTACGGAAATCGTCGGGCCGAATAGATCCATCTCGCTGAAAAGGCGGATCGTTGGCAAGAAAGTTAAAAATCACCATATCGAATATTGAATCACACATACAAATTAGGAGGAAAGAAAGGAAGATGTTAAAAAAGAATAAAATGATTACTTTCCATAAAAAGGTATAAGTAAAAGAGATAGGGTAGATTTTTGCGTGTAGATTTTCACCTCTTGGATATGATAAAATTTTTTAAAAATTCGTAGCGTTTGAGGAACACCTCGAAAATTGAGCACAAACATGTTGTCCAAATTTCAGTGTTGTAAGCTTTTAAATAATTGACTTACTGAATAAATATGACTGAATGAATAATATTTATTAAAAAAAAAAAAAAAAACGATAATCTGCGCATTTACCGCGCCTGATTCTGCCCACTATTAGTTTAATTTGTTGGAGTACCGGAAGTCTTTTTAGTTTATATTATTTGAATATTTCTTTTACTTACTCTTTTTTAACATCCTTCTTTATCTAAAAAAGATTGTCTTTATAAAATGTGCAGAGAATGTGAATTAAGACATACTGTATACGTAACACAAATCATTAAAATTAATCAGTAAGGATGTACGGACATAAAAAATAAATTCTATACTTAAAACATAGATCATAAATAAAATATAAAAGGACATTAATTATAATTATATGTATATATATATATATATATATATCTCAGAAAAAATAAAACAAACATGATCTTACAAACTTCGGATATTCAAATGTGATATGCTTTAAAAAATTTAAATTTACGATTTGAAAATCCACTAAACCAATACGTCATGGGATTTTGTATTAAATAAATAAAGAAAAACGAAAGACTAGTAAAGAAAGCTCCGAAATGGGTTTGGGCAACAAGGTTAAGCACTGGGATATCGGAATGTCCGGCGAGGTAGAAAAGAGATTCGTACGGAATACGATGGTAACTGTACAAATAAAATGGAGTTCGTTTTTTAGAAAAATCAAAGACGAGAAAAATACGGTTTCCTTGGCGCATCCATCGTATTGCGGTGGTTTAGCAGCGCATGGCCGTTAAACGGCAGCCAAGCAAATAGAATGAAAATCGTTCTAGGGGAGAAGAATTGCACGAGAGAATCGACTTCCCCGGGTGGATTAAAAGCGAAGGACGACACATCGTTGTTGATGTTGCACGTAAAAACGAAACAAGAGAAACGCGAGATTTCAAAGAAAAAAAGGATGTATTAAAAAGTCCGGTCGGTAGATGGACGATGGATTTTTATAACATCGGACTCTGGCGTTTCATAATAGATCATCTTTAATGTGACGTCTATTTCATACATCATACCTTTTCTTGTGCTCCAGCAAAAAATAGCACGAATATCAAGTACGCCACTTGTGTTTTCTCCATTGTTGCAAAGTTTATAAAATTTAAAAACCTGTATATCTAACTGGTAAATCAATACTTTTAATAAATTTTAATAAATGAACTCTATGTTTATAAACATAAGATATAATAAATTTATATATTAAATATTAATTATACGTATATAAAATCTATTATAATGTTATATTAATTATAATTAATTTATATATAAAGTATATTAAATTCATGCACAATTACAATAAATATTAAAATATACTTTCAAATATTACTTTACGATAAGATTTCTTATAAATTAATTCGTAGATGTTGACTATTTCGATCTATCAATAAAATTTGTTGAAGATCATACGATAATTGATTAAATTTCAATTGAACACACGTTACAGATCAGAGGTGTTAATGCAATTTAAATGAATAAAATAACCGTGTTCCCGTCTCGGGTGTTCAAAACGGTGATGAAACTGAAAGCCCTATCTGTTCTATGTGACGCACACGAAGATATAGTTGCCAAATGTACCTATAGATGCACGATGCGGTCGCGATATCGGAATTCGCGATATACGTATAAGGTGGGTGAGCCAAAGTAACCGCGGGAGTGCTTCGAAATGGGTTGCGGGAACAAGGTTGAGTTCTAGGATATCGGAATATATGGGCGAGTAACAGTGCAAAGCACAAGGGGGGGGGAGTAACGCGGATGAAATTTATGGCACCGAGACGGTAGAAGAGGAGATCCCTAAAGGAGAAAGAAAGAGAGATGGGAAGAGAAAAAGAGATAGGGAGAGAGACAGAGAAAAAAGAAAACATGTGGAGAGAAAAGAAGAGTGTATGTACTCGAGGACGTGGAATAAAATTGTTCGATCTTTATATAAAACACTAGAGCGCCCGTCGAAGGCGAGGAACGAGATACCTCGTTTTGCCGACGCAACAACATAATTCTGCCGATTCGATTCGCGTCGATAGGGACGTATTCGTCCTGGCGAAAAAAGAAACAAGAGAGAAAAGAGAGAGAGAGAGAGAAAGAAATAGAGGCTCGAAGCCGCCGCTGGTTCCCATGTATTCGGTGAAAATTCTCTGGTGTGGCAGAATCGAAATTCCTGCCGGCCGCTTTTGTCTTGCGTGGAATAATAGAACGTTTCGGGACGAATAATATTTAAGAAAGCGATTTCGCTTCTCTCTCTCTCTCTCTCTCTCGATGGCAGCAACGGTGATAGCGATGAGCCGTGGAATAAGGACTTTATCGTGAATCGCCATAACGATCGCCCTTACGATGCGATTCGTCGTGCTCTAAAGGGTAAAACAGCGGTCCGCAGATTGGCTTGGGTTCAAGTCGAGACTCCAACGACGATGTCGCGAAGCACGCGTACCCGGAGAGATTCGGTAAATGTTACCGTTTCGCCGTTAACTCCCTGATGCGTCCTATTGCTTTCTCTCATTTTATCTGAAAATTCTACGCCATATAAAATCATGAGCAATAACCTCGGTTCTCTTACATTACGGTGTAATCTGGCTCATCCTACCTGTATGTTCCACGTAATCAGATTTAAAACGAGAATGCTACTTTCTAATATGTGGCCTGACGAGCGCAGTGGAGTAAAGTAGAAATCGCTGTAGTAAATTGTAACTTTGAAAAGTTATACGCATGACGAAAAGAGAATGATTTCGATTTTTTCAAAATAGATATCTCAAAAAGAGTAATTTTTATACAGGTCATGATCACACAATTCACATATTCATAATTAATTATAATTTTTCAAATAATATTTAAAATTAATCATATTTTTATACAATAATTCTTGATACTTAACAGTTCTATTGTTAATTTATCGCGACGTTTTACTGTCAAGTAATTGATAATTGATCGAGCAGTGCGTGATGTAAGGTGATTACGATGCGTATTATTAGTTAATTTAATTGGCTGCTTTCTCAATAACATCGCGTGTACTAGGCAAATGAGAAGCTAATATAGACGACTATGTACCACACGGTACATATTGGACCGTGTTCAAATCGAAACTCAAACAATGCCGCGGACGTGTTCCGAGATCGTCAATGGACGCTAAGGAATCTGTGCTAAATGTTTTGCCGCGCGACCTGAAATTACTTTGAACTTTAGTGACCATCTACGTCAACGTTTGCTGTACACATACAATTGCGATACAGTGGAGCAACGGCAAACAATGTTACGTCAATTTAGTGAGATATTGATTTTGTGATTGGTATGAACTGGTGTCCAAAGTCAGTATGTTTGTACTTTTGTAAGCGATGTCAAAGGACACTGTCGGATTCCTTTTGCTCCTTGCTTTTATCGGGGAAAATAGAAAAATTTTAAAGAAGGAAAAAAAGGTCTTTTCGGTCTGAACTATATATCTTAATGCTTAAATAATATTTCGTGATATGAGTTTATATATATATATTCAGTTCTACTCCTCCCCCCCCCCTCTCTCACTCGAAATTATTTTCAATCTTTAAAAGCGATCTTAAACCAAACTGCGATAGTAATATCTTCAAGTTTAATATCAAGCAATTTAATTATATTAATGCTAATAAGCATCCTGAAAAGCTGTGAATAATTTAATGCTAATAAGTATTTTAAAAAGCTGTAAATAATTTATTGCAAAAAATATTACCTCAGAATTCGAACTTTCCGTGTCTCAACCAATTTCGATCACTGAGGTTGTGGTAATATTTTGTTAATTAGGTATATAACGAAACGTTTGTTAAAAATACGTGAAATAAACAAAATGTTATAAGATCAAAATATAAATACACAATGAGTAACGAAAAAGCCTCATCAATGTAAGCCGGATTTTAGAGCTTAAATAATATTTCAATTTAATTTAGAATTTAATTTAGAAAAACTTTAATTTTTGGTTCAACAAACGTGCCGTTTGGCTGGATAGAATTCATAAAGATATTTATAAAAAGACTTACTACATGTGTTTTTGGCTGTTCACTTCTCTGCAGATCGCTCTGAAATAAAATCAAAATTGCAGGAATTAGTGATTGTTATCGTAAATATATTTAGTCATGTATTTAATCAGACACAACTGATAAGATGCATATAAATCAATTTGCCGCAAGTCTCGTAATTTTATAATTACGTCGGTGACGGTATCGCGTTCTTGGGGCAAATTAATTTAACGAGTTTCCGTTCGTCGCCGACGAATTCCTTCGGAATTTTCCATAAGGGTCGTAATTCCGTAAAGAGGTTACGGCAATGCGACCCTTACTGAAAGTGGCTTTAACTAGTTAAAGTCCTTCCCTTGTCGATAGGAAATACCTCTAACCGCGCTGTTGCAGTCGACAATGCCAGTCTCATCGGGATTCCGATATATCGATATTATAGAGGAGCGCAGGAGCGATTGTAACATGACACAATGCCCTTGTAACATTGCCCTTTATTACCAAAAGTTATCTGTGTTACTAACACGAATTAAACCGTCTGGCTTATATTTAGATCTTCCTCACAAGGCTATTTGTTATAATTCTTGTTTATTACCTTTACAGAGTTATTTTGTAATTTTTATTATACAACAATTTTCTATTTTCCTTATAAATATAATAAATACCTAAACTCTTTTATCGTACGAGTTTAATAGATATTTATCTGAAATATTAATAAAAGTATTAAGTAGATCATTGGCTTTATAGGAAAATTATAGAAAATTATATTTGATCGATATAAGTCTACAAATTATTTTTGATTGTTGACCAAAGAAAATTTTAATAAAGATTTCCCTTAAAAGGACAAATATTTGAAGTATGAAAGGTTACATTGAAGATGCATAAAGAAAGTATAGTTCTGTTATAGTACGAATATGTGTATTTATTGATATATTAATCTGAATTTAAGTTTAAAAGGAAAAAATATTTAATAATTTTTAATAATTGATAACAGATCGCTAGGCCTAAGAATGTTATGCTGTAAATCAGACTCTTCCTAGGATTAAATCTATCTTTCACGAAAGGAAGCGCCCTTCTAAGCACGGAGAATCGATCGTTGCGGTTTCGCTCGCTCGCTCGCTCGTTCGCCCACCGCGAAACAAATTCACGACGCACACCGGGGGCGAACGTGTTCCGTCGTTAAAAATGTAAACTTCACGATCTTACGAGCGCGGGCATGGTTCATTTGCCTCGTAAAAGCGAAACTAATGGTCGGCACAGAGTTATGTACCCCATATTGGCTCGCATTCAAGTCGAAATTCAAACCACGCCGTGAAACGCGCGGCATGATCACCGGTCGGGTCGTTACGATTCTGGCTGAAACATGAAATCAGCTTGTCGGATTATTAACCCTTTCATTATCGACCTGAATTCATGCAAAACGTCGATAATTTTAGACATTTAAAAGGATTAATGTCTCGTCGTATTATGAAGTCCAAAATGTAGAAGTGCAGTTTTCATCACAAAATGGATCTCTTACAAAACTGTCCACAAATTTCTGAATGAGAATTAACTTTTCATCGAAAATGCCTCTGAAGCTAAAATTCCATTTCATTTCCATCCCACAAATTTTAGTTGCGATTTCGTTCGCGACATCTTTATCATAAAAAATAGTTTACGATACGATTATTAAAGGATAGATAAGTTAGAGAGAGAGAGAGAGAGAGAGAGAGAGAGACATTTAAACAAAATAAGATATTAAAACAAAAATTGTTCAAATACAATGGAATATAGGTATAATAAAATTTATAGGTTTTGACATTCCATTCTTAATCCTATACGACTTCCTTCATCGTCATATAACTGCTCAAATGACGAATCACAAATGTGGTAATAACGCATTTCTATGAATCGTTACGTTCTCGCAACGGTATGAAAGCGATGCTCCGAGACACGCACATGAGATCATCGTAGGATGGAACTCGCTCGAGGTATTATTGCCAATCGTGAGAAGCCAGAACATCCGAAAGGAATTTTATTCTCTCGTGCAAAGAAGCATTCGCTGACGCGCTAGAGGATATCGAAGGACATTCGTTCTGGGAACGATAAATTATTGAAATTTCTTCAAAGATTTATATTGTGCTGGGGAAAATAGTTAAAATAGAAAACATTCATAAATATATATTTTTAATGCAAGAAAAAAATTAAAAGAGATTACAAAAATATTTACTTAAAGAATGCGTTTATAGAAATATTATTTGAAATATTCTGTGTAATAAATATAAAAAAGACAAATTTTTATTCAGTCTTTATCATTTACATTATTATTTATTCAAAATCAATAGAATAATTATTTGATATTTTGATATTTTCTGATAAAAGAATATTTCTATTTTCTATTTCTTAACAAAAAAATAGAAAATAGTAAATAGAAAGTAGAAAATAGAAGTGCCTTTTGTTTTACCATGAAATATCGAAATGCCAAGTATTTTATTTCAAGTAAATATTTCAGTAAATATTAAATGTTAGTTGCTAAATTTGCTTTTTTTATATATTTATTACGCATAATACTTATTTCAAATAGTATTTTTACATTTACTACGGAAAATACTTATTTCAAATAGTATTTTTCATAAATTCATCCTTTAAATAAATATTTTTACAAAATTTATTTCAATTTTTCCCCAGTTCTGGATTTGTATACATACGTATATCATGTATACTTAATATGGTCATAAATATTGTAATACAGAATTAATAAAGTAAAAAAAAAATATAATAATAAAGGCATGAAACCTGATTAATTTGCCATTCATCAGGTATAAAAAAATCATATGCCACTAAAAATTCTGAAATCTTATTTCGAAAATTTGTATTTCGCAAATTAATAATCTTTTCTCTATTAAATCTTTCATAATATTTTCAATCTCGATATTGAGATTAATAAATTTCTTAAAATAATTACGATTAATTAAAACAGATCGACAAATTATTATTTAATTTATTTTATAAAGTTCCATGAGCGTAGAATGTTGATTATGATAATTGAAAGGAGATGAGAGGGAGGAAAGAAGATGAGGGGTTATCAATTCTTACCGGGGAAATAGTCGTGAGTGGATTAGATTCACGTAATTAGAAATCTTGTCGCGTGGGATATAAATGGAGTAGATATTACCATTCCCAGGCCACACGGGAAAACGAACCTTTAGTTTCTGAAATCTGTGTTCGTAATTTTCTCACTTGTTCCAGAAGGGACAAAGAAAAAAAATAAAATGAACGAAGAATTAATATGAAACTCATTTATATATAAACGAGGCACCGAAGAACTAAGGAAATTATTATTCATTTCTTCTATCCAAAATAAATATGAAATTAATTCTGCTGTTCCAACAATATTTTATTTAATCACAAAGTAAATTCTAAAGCTTCACGTAATATTGTTTTAATCTCAAAATATCAATACGTGCATTTCGAAAAGACTAAACTAATTTAACTTCATTTTCTTCATACTCGCTTCATATTCGCTGAAAATATCACATTTACAAATGTACTTAAAGCGCGAGCTCGGAATTTCCTAGAAATATATTGAAAGCTAAAGAGCGAGCGACCGAGAGTTCCGAGAGAGAGCAATCCCGGCCGTAAAACCGCCGATGGTGAAGCGGCGCAAATTATCGGCCGCGCGATTCCGACAATTTAGCGATCCGTCCGTTGTGCGACGACACGACGACAACGCTATTCAAATCTCGTACCTCCCCTGTCCTCGCTCCTCGCTACGGCGTCCCCGTAGCAGTAAAACAAATCCTTTTATCCCGAGCGAAGCGTTTCGCCTTCCTCAAAACCACAGCCGCGTTCATCCTGCAGGATGTGTTCAGGATGAAGGATGAAGGATGCAGAGAGAGAGAGAGAGAGGACGATGCAATTCCGCACCGACGGAGAATACCTCTTCTGGATGTGCAGGCGGGAGGGTAGAGAGGTGAGACGGGAAGGATGGCATGGCACATTGCGCAACGCAGCACGGCTGCATCCTGCCCTATGCTCCGGCCGGCCCTCCCGCTGGCGCGACGCGGCGGTGGCTGCAGACGGCGCATAAGCCACTCGTCATTATTTCATCGAAGTCGGTGGTTGGTTCAACAGGTACGTTTCCGACGCGATTCCGAGTCCATGGAAATAGTCGAGCTCGTAGAAAAGGCGGCGGAACAACGGAGAGCGCATCGGATGCGCGGCGCGAACGGAAATAACGATACTTCGTACATATACGCAGGATACCACAGAAGTGGAGCATAATCCGTCAATTCATAATCATACAATAGATTATTATTGGCGTAGTTTTAAGGCCTAGATCTGTCAAATTTCACGCGTTCGACGTCGTACTTCGTTAATTAAAGTATATTTAAATAGTGATGAAATACTTGTTCAAAACTAATCGGAGAATAATAAGAGAACTTTAATTAGTTAAGTCGCAAAAATCATGCTAATGAAATTCTTTAATATTCGCCGTGGCACTTGTGGCCAGTATATTTCATAGATGTCTCCTTTTGCCAATTTTGCTTTTGGTATCTATAAGATATTCGGGAAACGTGAATAATCTCTGGAGCATGAATAATTTTGTATTCTCTGTACATTTATGCACATCATCACTTTTCTTCTACGGCGCGTACGGTGCATGCAAGACGAGAGGTTGTCGAACATCGAGAGCTTTGGCGGAACTGGCTTCGAGCCAGCCAGGGCATTACTTTCGAGAAAAAAGAAGAAAAGAATCGAATGGGACGATACACGCGTAGGAGAGAGAAAGGGTGGGTGGTGAATGAATGAGAGAGAGAGAGAGAGAGAGAGAGAGAGAGAGAAAGGGGAGGAGAGAAAAAGAGAAATAGAGACCTGAGAGAGATGGTAACCCGAATGAATATTTAATTTCTGCATATCTCACCCCGGGTAAAGTTCAGAGCGACGGGATGGCCGACTCGCTCCCAGGAGAGTAGAAGGAAGAGCCCCGTGTCCCTTGTACTTCCCGGCAGTCTCCGTGATATAGGGTAGACACTCCCGAGGATCTCTCGCTACCGCTACCGTTGCTCCCGCTATTACCCTATCCC